GGAAATGGCATGTTTGATATTCTGAAAAAAATCAAATGAAGATTGAAAGATTATGTGAATTGTATACGTATTTCTTCCACATGGTCTTCCACTTTTCTTTGACAAATGAATAGCAGTGAAATTTAAGAACGCGAATTTTGTTTCAGTGGCAACATCCCGAATTAAATTTTCCTCTCAACCCCCTCTCTCTGTCTCTGTCTCTCTCTGTCTCTGTCTCTCTCTCTCTGTCTCTATCTCTGTCTCTGTCTCTGTCTCTGTCTCTCTCTCTGTCTCTCTCTGTCTGTCTCTCTCTCTCTCTCTCTCTATCTCTCTCTGTCTCTCTCTTTTTCTCTCTCCCCCTCTCTCTATCTCTCTCTTTCTCTCTCATTTACCCTACCCCCTCTCTCTCTCTCTTTCTCGCTGTCCCTCTTCCTCTTCTCCCCCCTTCTTTCTTTAAAAAAACATTTATTTCTAGTATATCTCTTTACGTTGCAGTTTGACTATCATACTTCATACCGAAAAGTCAGTAAATGAAATAAAAACATTAATAGGGAGAGACTTGATATGAAACATACCACTAATGGAGGTTAGAGAGCTGGACCCGTGCTCTGTGTTCGAACCTGTATTCTACGAATTTAACTAAATCCGCGACCCTGGGTCGAAAAATCAAATTTATCAAAAGGCGAACTTAGACCTCTGACTAAATTCCTTTTTTGAACCCGATTTTAAAGGGGAAAACAAGGATTAAACCCAGTATCGGATTTAAATTCTAGTCAAATACGGACTAACACATTGACTCGTCCAAGCAGAATGCATATAGATCTCAGACGTATAATCTATGAATATTATATTTATGGTAAAATGGCAATGTATGTGGAGTTAATTAACATTCTTAGTCGAAAGTTGCGATGCAAAGTCTATAACGTAGACAACAATATCCAGTCACAATGATGAGATCAACCGAATACCGACAACAGACCGAACGAAAAAAGGCATCGGTTGGTTTGTAGTCAGTGTGGAGTCGGTTTGACGGTGTGACGAAGTTATTAGATATTTTTAAGAGAGGGTTTTATTCCCGGTTTAATTCTTCCCAGGGTTTACAGCGCGGAAAGTTTCGAATCAATTTTGCATGCCAGATGGCGCTATTTTATACGAGCAACTTTATTTGATAAAGGGCTGGCTTTTTTTTCAACTGGGAAATATTACAGAACGTTGATTTGCTCGTTTCATACCTTCATAACCAAATAAAAGGCTTTGGATTACAGACTACTATTAACAAAACGAATGTTATACACATTGAACTAACAGCTGATTGCATTATGTAAAAAAAAATGCCGAATGACGTCGAAAAAGGTCGACGCAAATAAAGGGTAACAGATTAGAAGGGAAAAAAATCCAAGAGGGATAAGAAAGTGGAATAGGGAGTGGGAGAAGGAAAGCTGTTAACATGATACCCCCCCCCCCACACACACACACACACCTCCTAATTGATGGACTTAATTTGCATTCCATCTACATGCAGAGTAGAAAAATGGTTGTACTTGAAAGGTCGCTCGCTATTTACTCTAGGCCCTGTCTGTAGAGTTGCTATTGATCCAAATTAAGTCCTCCGATGAATCGCAAGTTTGCAGTCTCCTATCGTATTGATATCAATCGCAAATAAGTTGCGATTGATAATATAAACTATTTATAAAAGAGGGCCCTATAGTCTCGCCACCAATTGTTCGGGGTGTCATGTTATTTGTCTGTTATTTATAGCGCAAAGAAAAATGCACAATCATTTCTGTCTTTGCAATACGCTTAATGAACCATGAACACAAATGAAGTTTGGGGAGGGTGCGGGCTTCTTGTTTTGTGCATGCTTTAGAATATTATTCCACAACGAGGCGCTGTGTGAGCCAATGTTCTTTTCCATACTAGTATGAAGTCTTGAAGGAAGAACAAGAAATCCGGAGTTGATAGAGCATTAAGATCTAGACGGGATTGTAATGATTTATCAAAATAATATTGTACTGTGGAGCAGAGCCATGCACGGACACAATGAAGTAAAAGCAAAAGAAATCTGAAAACACTGCGTATGCACATTTACAAAATAACCTCAGATAGTCAGGATGTCTTATTTTGTTTCTGTCAACTTGATGTTTTTGTTCCGGGGTTCAAGGTGATGTCATATTTATATCCGAATGGATTTTGTGAAGCGATGATTTACTTTGTTCCCTATAGGTTTCCATGATTTACGTACTTGATTTACAGTATACATGTATTAACATACAATGTTTTATGTACTCATCGGCAGGTTCTATCCCTTCTTTTCCTTTATCCTCTTCTTGCCATCTAATTTCATTTGTTATTTTATTAAGTTGTATTGTATATTAGGGGTGCCCAGAACAAGTATGTGCGTTTTGGTGTACTGGCCTCTTTTCTCACTTGCCATATCTAAGTTAAACATTTCTATTTTCTTGTAAAATTGAAATTGAAATAAATTCATGAATATTTTTATGAAGAAAATGGCTGAAATTTAAATAGCTGTTCGTGTAAAGGTGGTATCTCACTGAGCGGCGAATGCTACTTTTCTGACGAATGTTGGCGAAAATCAGGATTCGCCTCTACGACATTTCGCGACTTTCAGCGATGTTTAGCGATAATTAGCGACATTTGAGCGAATGTTTGCGAAAGGTAGTTGGCGAATATTAGCGACTCTATATAGGCAAATGTTAGCGACAGTTTTCGCGAAGATTAGCAACTATTTGCCAATCGTTTGCCACAATTTGTGAGTGTTTGGGACCTTTTGCTAACTCCTGGTACTCAATGGGTCGATTTTATATAGGAACCATATGGTAACGTGGTCGCTAGCATTGGCGACTCCGGGGCGACTCAAAAAGAACCTCAGCGACACCGTCTACCAACTGTTTGCAGAGGCTTACGACTGTTTTGCAAACGCTTGCAAATGTTTGCGGAAAAAATAAATCCCCAATGATAAACTGTTTGCGACAACGAAAACTGTTTGCGAACTTTCTGGCAACCTTTTACAAACCTTTTGCAACCTTTTTCGAACCCTGGCAAAACCCCAAGAGATTCGCTACATTCGAAAGCATTCGCCCTTCAGTGAGATACCCCTTTATAAACAACGCGATGTTAGTTTGTAAATGTGGCAAAATTATCCCAACTGTATTCTAAGTGGTAAATTAATAAACAATGGAGTAGCCAATATAACGTCTAAGATACCCCAGATGTAGTTTTGTAGGCAAAATGGACCACATTCATTAGTTTGTGTCATTCGTCTTTCTATTTTTTTGAAATAAATGCACATTGTTATAGAATTTTCAATAATAACAATAATACTAAGTTTTTATATAGCGCAAATTACTATTAAGTCTCTACGCGCTATAGAAATAGAAAAATTCAAGAAGTGAGTGAATATCCAAACTGTGTGAGATCTTTTGAAGCGATGTCGTAATTTGTTATGCTGTTCATTAATTACTTAAAGGGTAGATATAACTGGAATATATTCGCCCTCTACATAATATGTCATTCTAAATTGTAGCCAGAAGTATACTTTGTGATAGTCCCATTTTTAGTTTACCTTTCATGTTTATATTAATAACATACAATTGAATTGTAAAAAGTTTAGATAGCAAACTACTTGTATGTACTTGACTATAGTTTTATGTTGCATTTTCTGGACTCGAATATTAAAGTGCACGCACCACCCGTTTCATTATTTGTAGACGGTATTGGGTAAACAAAAGTAAACTCTAAGTCTGATTTAACAAATAGTTTTGTTGCGTTTTATTTGTTTATTGTCATATTTCATATAGAACCCTAAACTTTATCACATGTTATTTCCATTTTCTGGTTGGGATTGTGGCCTTGATAAAGTTATTTTCTTGCCAACATGGCATTGTATGTAAATTGAGTTCCCAGGGTCTGTTTGGCTTTACATACAAAGGAAGTGGGTCAAACGGGCATATCGGGGAACCCCGTGCTTTAAAGGAATGATGATCTTTGGTACTAAAATGGTAGGAATTTGGAACGTATACATTTGTCTTGACAAAGAGAAGATGACAAGAGCACATTGAGTAAATTGATACAGAGAAAGTGACAGAGGGAGACAGAGAAGCGAGAGAGAAAGGTAAAAAAAAAAGGAATTAAAAAAAAGAAGTTTTATTTACTTTAAATTATATTTGCGAACTGTGTTTAACACGACTAATGTAGCCTTCTTAAGAGAGAGAGAGAGGGGGGGGGGGAGACCTGGGGAGTGTTTCACAAAGACTAAGATCGACTTTACATTAAGTTGGACTTAACTGTGGCAGGCCGTTCATGCCACCGTTTGCTCTCACCATTTACTGGCATTCTTTTGTCTGTCAAGGGACATTTAGAATGTTTACATTTGTTGATAATTCATTATAGAATTAAAAAATATCTAAAGATCATAATGGCGAGGGCAATCAGTGGCATGAACGGCCTGCCAAAGTTAAGTTAAACTTGAAGTCGATCTCAGTCTTAGTGAAACACTCCCATGTACTTAGAGGTGGTAGAGAATGAATAATCAGAGAGGGATATAAAGTTATAGAACTATAATAGTTTTCCCGGTATTCATTGTTTTCTATCATTGTATCGAGGGGCTAGCACACTTCAGATTCAAATCACTAAGAAACGAAATCTGTGGCATATCCAGAATCAATATTTGGAGGGGCGAAACACCCGGACAGTCGGAAAGTAGAGGTATATATATATATATATATGGCACCCCTTTTTACCGTAGACCCACTGAAAGTTCACTGATTGTGTTTCTGGGACTTCAAGGGCGGGGGTGTATGCTGGCTTCGCCCAATGTTGGATACGCCCCTACGCAAAAATGGGGGTTTCAATCGTTCCATAGACCTTAGGTACTTAACCCCCGGTTCAACGTGCGTTCAAGTACTAGTAGTTAAGATTTAAGAAATTGATGCATAACCAACTCAACCTAGACATGTTATCAGCTGAGTACCTGATCCCCGACCTTTAATCTTGTAATGCGATAACCCGATATAGATATACCTGACTCGAAGGTACATTGTACACACCACCAAGCAAAGTTTCTTCACAACAGAATCCCGCGTTGTACGCGGTGGACGGAGGGTAAACAATCTCGGATTCTACCTGCGACAAACAAATAAATTCTACATCACCCCGGTGGTAAGTTCAAAATTAAATCATTATTTGTTTCCTGGTTTGATATCGTTTTATTCCGATTGAAAAGTAAATGAGAATGGCAAAATTAGTAGTAGTTGCCAAACTTCATTTAGTCATCCTCAAAGAAAAGTTCATGACTGCGTCACAAGAGGCAGAATATATATATAATCCTCAAAACAAGTTGTGTAATTCAAGTTTGAGCGCTGATATCTCTTTTGTGTCTTTAATATAATACTTTACTTTGGTATCATTGGAAAGCCTGTTTATTCACCTTTACAATAATGCCCCATTTGTAATGATAATATAATCATGGACTATGCAGTACACCTGAATATAGGACCAAGTCAAAAGAGAAATATTGTAAAATGCACTGTTATTTCTTCAAAACACAATCTCACCTCCAAACAAATACAGAATTCACTATTGACAATAACAAAATACATTTCACTTTTGACTTGGCCCCATATTTAGGTGCACATCACATTTACATAATCATTACATATGGTGCATCGCTCTAAAGGGGAGTAAACAGGCTTTTTAATGATACCAACGTCACATATTTGGCAACTGTTAACTGTCAATTGTTGCACCACTGTTTAGTTACCTTGCCTATAAAGTACTCCCCCACATTTCGTTTTGCAAAGTTTGTCTTATTGTTCGTTTTATTACGTCCAAGGTGAATATTTTCAAGTTTTATGGACAGTGTATTACATGTATTACATTTTTGTTATATGTTATATTTCTACCCGAAAACATGTTCATAATATTGGTATTATTATTGAAAAGAGTGTACCGGAGTAAATTGAAAGAAAAATGTAGTGAAACATAGGCATTGTATCATGTTGTAGTGGGTGGACACAGTATTTTTTTCAATTTTGCACTGCTGGAGACGAACAAATCCTCAAGTTTGTCACAAAATAACCCATTCTCATCTCTCCAGTTCAAAGCACGTATTTAAATGGGCTGCAATATTGTCTTAAATACAAATGATGCAATGCGGTTTTAAAGAAAATAAGTATGTCCCAAGACCAAGTGCGTTCTCAAGTCATGAACATATTGAATATTGAAATTACCTCTGTTTCTGATTATTTCTACTGATCCAAGTTATAAGTATTCGGACTGTCAAGTTAATACCGTCAATAGAAATACTTAAATCTTTGCTTTTGTCTGTAATATTATGGAACAAGATACCTTGGAATTGCCCTCATACAACACAATCAGGTCACTGAAGGTCAAGATGACAATATCACGTGATTCAGATTGCAATCAGATTAAGATCGAGAGGTTACTAGTTCAAGTTCGGTGTGCTCTTCTAATAACTATCTAGAACAAAACATTTACATTACCCGACTGTTCTTGTGTCACTCGATGGGTTTCTTTCTTTGTAACCTACACGTATTTCATCAGTCTATTTTCTCTTATATACCTTTTTAATGTTTCAGTTAATTGCACTTATCAAAGTTAAGTATTAAAGAAATGATGACATGTCTTGATAATCAATGCCCCATTATTACATATACGTACTTTGATTGTTAAAAACATTATGAAACTGGTATTTTCAGCCTTTCAGGGTATACCATTTTAGATATCGAGGTCAGTCATAGTCCATGATGTTTGCTTTAAAACCGATGACAACAGGAAAATTTGCTAAGCTTTAATATCTTTATAGTTTACTGCCGTTTAAAAGTCATGCTAATCAAAACAGAACTAACAGAACCAATCGTGACAATAGGCGACCTTTGATTCCTGAGGCTGAGGCGGAAGAGAATAAAGGATTTACGAGACGATGAACTTATTCGGTTGTCACATGCTGTTTGAGTGTGAAATCATTAAATATGCATGGTTCAAGATTTCGCAATCTATAGTCTCACTCCATGGAGGTTATATGAATGTTATGAAACACATTAAAACGTTCAAACAGTCAGGTGCCATTTTTAGCATTGATTTATGATATATTATCTACTCAATCAGTATTGTAGGTCAAATCTTACAGTCAGAAGAATTCTGACTTTCAACCAATCAGGACCGTGCACTTACTTGGTATTGCTTTTAATTTTCATAGTGGCGTTTCGGCGCATTATGCAAAATGCACATACTCTTATATAACATTGGGAACCGTGGTCTTTTAGAATGATTACCACGCCAAACAAGTGAACTCGAATCGTAATCTTGGACAAGCTAGGCCAATATGTAAGAATAAGTCATGTACCATTGCACCAACTGTTACACTATAGGATTCAGCAGAGTATCCAGACGTTGATAATTGTTGGTGCCGCCCCTTCCCCTCCCCCTCAGACTAGGAAGGAGTGTCCTTTCCTGATAACATTTTGTTGAATATTTATTGCAAGTTTGATCGACCCCCCCCCCCACCCACCCACCCACCCCATTCCCAGCTTTCAAACGGGGGGGGGGGGGTACACCAGCTTAATTATACCCTTGTACCCTATACCGGATAAAGCACTTTTATAATTATCTACGGTGTTGTCATTATTCTAATAGTAATCAGCAGAGATTAAAAAAAAAAATAATGGTTACCAGTTGGAGATGTCAACTATTAATTAACAATTTAATGTTGTTGCCATTGTCCACTCCTCTCTCCCTTCTGCAGACCCTATACACCAGCTATGGGGAACCGAGGCATCCCAGGCCTCCTGGCCGCTTTCCTCTGCCTCCTGTACCTAGGGGTGGGGTCGGCTAGCGACCCTCCATTCGGTTCACCTGCACGGTGCATGGAGCCACCGAGCTGGTCTCTCCGTGGAAGACATCCCATGCTGGAGAGCCGAGGTCAAGTGACGGTGGTGGCGCTGTTGCAAGCCAGCTGAGGTTTCTGCCTGACGCAGGCCCATTAGTAAGTTAGATCACAGACGTAGCCAAAGGGGAAAGGGCACATGCTCCGCAAGTTTCTGGTGCCCTCATGAAAAATGTAAATTATGTTTTAATCAGAAAGAATACCTGCATCCATCCCGTTTTCCTCCATTTAGTGTAAGGTGAATGACGTAATGGAAGAAGTCTAATATAAACATCACTAAAATAAACACCCCTCACATTATTAATCATAATTTTAAAGCTAAGGAGATTTACCAAACTAGGATGCTTACAGACATCCAATCAACTTGCTATTAATTTGTTAGTAGGTCAATTGATTTAGTCATTGCTTAATGAAGATGTAAAACAAATAGAATCAACATATTGCCTCTTCTTGTATGTTTTATGTTCATATTTCATAAAATGTAATCAATGTTTTTTCCCCTTTACAGCTTGGAGGTCATGCGCAGGCAGTACATCTCCCAACACAACATTACCGACATCAACTTCATCGTGATCAATGCAGGCGACCTACGATCTCGTCTCAACTATTACAGGCTCTATCGCTTGGGTTACTTTGATCTCTATCAGGATTATTCATCAGAGACAGCTCCCGAGGAGAACGTCTGGAGCCTCCTTGACGGAGCCAAGGACGATTTCTTGATATATGACAGGCAAGATTATATTATACTTATATTTGCAATAATCTCCTGCTATATACAGTAATAATGATAATGATATACTAGTATTACGTTTACACTAGCGCGTAACGTAAATACACCAATGCGGTTTACAATGTGGAATTCAAATGTGCACCATCTCCACTCTTCATCAGGAAGTATTCCTACCCTTTCGTAAGCTTCACACAAATGCGTATATGACATTAACACTGCCTTTCGACAATCCTGACAGGTATCCTTTATCTCCTGTTTGGACAATGGCAATGTAGATTAAAATCCTGTATTAGGACGTTAGTGCTGGGGCTTGGACCCTCGAACCACAAACAAAAGTGACCACTAGACCATGACACCTTTACCTAGGGTTTTAGAATGTCCATCCCTCTTAATTATTAGTTGGTCTAAAGTGCCTCGGCTATCCTTCTTGTCACTTCGGACTTACATCATCATTCCTCATCTTTTTATAACTTTTCTTCTTCTGTCCTCTTTCCTCCTTTTTCTACTTCTTAAAATACCCTTTTCCCTACTGTATACACTATGGAAATAATTACGTTATTGTTAGTTCTTTATGATCCAAGTCATGTTGTACATTTATTTATTGAAAGTGTGTTTAATGTGTGTATGATTATTAACCATGCGCTGCACATTTCATCATGTTATATTGTTTTATTTTATGTTTGAAATGAAAATAATTGAAAAGAAAAGAAAAATGAAATCAAAGACATACCTTTAATATCCACAATAAAACCGCAATACCGGGGTTTCAGATCCAGGCACTAAAAAGAACTCTTCTCTTTTAATACAACTGTCAGGTCTTCTGTCCTGCACGTAAAAAGAGTCTAGCGATTTATAAAGGTGAAGCATAACAAAGAACGAACCATCTAGCTTATTAAGTTTTTGCATAGATAGTTTGTCATTTGCCTTATTTGATTCCGGCTAATTCTGCTTGAATCGTACATTTTCTGCGTAGGTATATTCTATTTCAGACAATACAATTCAAAAGCTGTTCGTCAGAATTCTATTAATCATGAAAGATACTTGTACTTGCAGGTGTGGTCAGTTGACATATCACATCCCTATGCCATACTCTGCTCTGAGGTATCCTTTCATTCAGATCGCCATCGAGTCCACCTACACTGGAAGGCATCCCTGCAACTGTTCAGCCGATGAGCCGACAACCACCACAGCGATGCCATCAACAGAGAAGGTATGATAGGAAAATATCCCCCCTCCCTAGAAAAGAGAAATAGCATGTGATCAGTTAATAATTAATTATTAGTTCAATGATAGCGTCAATGTTGGGCGAGGAAAACTGGTTAAAGGATATAAATGACTTTCTTTCCCAGTAAAATCAGGCAAAATAATGAATCAATCTATGTACGTATCTACATCTATCTGTCCGTCTATCTATCTCTCTCTCTATCTATTTTTCTATCTTTTTTCTGTCTTTCTGTCTGTCTATCTCTTATATGTATTTGTCTATCTATCTGTCTATCTATTTATCTATCTATCTATATATGATCTTTATATAATTATATTCCTCTGTCTTTGTCTTCTCATACGTTTTCAGGATGCAACAACGATAGCATCTACCACACCTACCCCAGCCCCACAAAACGCCCTCTGACAGGAAGAGGAGCTTGCGGCATGCCGTGAGCGACAACAACAACAACAACTACTACAGGTAGAGCGGGGAGATGCAGTCAGCACTGATAGACAGAGTTGATGCTGATGCTGATCCGGGGAGGTCCGCTTGGCTTCCTGACGTCCACTCGCTGGGGTATCATCCCAGCTGAGCAGGATCCGTGGTGGATCCAGGTGATGCTGACCTTCCCAGGAGAGCGAGGTCACCGCCACTGCTCCCTCGCAGTCCAACTCCCATTCATCAACCCCTTCCACGTCCACTCAATCATGACAGCCATGAGACCCAGCCATAACAACAACGTCACCATGACGTCAGGGTCAAGGTCAACTGTGACAGGAACAGCCCTCAAACAGCTGACGACCTTGAGACACCGCCACCACAGCGGCACCATGACGTCAGGGTCAACTCTGAAACACCACCGCCACCACAGCGGCACCATGACGTCAGGGTCAACTCTGAGACACCACCGCCACCACAACGGCACCATGACCTCAGGGTCAACTCTGAGACGCCACCGCCACCACAGCGGCACCATGACGTCAGGGTCAACTCTGAGACGCCACCGCCACCACAGCGGCACCATGACGTCAGGGTCAACTCTGAGACTCCACCGCTACCACAACGGCACCATGACGTCAGGGTCAACTCTGACAAGGTCAAAGATCATGTCGTCAGTGACAGTGATAAACAGTTTGATTAAAAAGACCACAGTAATTTCAGCTTCATAAAACATTTTTGGGGTATTCAAAGAATTTCCATATTAAAAAAGTTACCCCAAATCGTATTCTTTCTAAAGTTTGACAAAATTGTTTTTTCGTTATGGAAAATCATAATGTAATTTTACATATAAACAAATTGAAAATATATGACTTAAACACAGATGATAGTAAAAAAAAACAACAACACTGAAATATGCAAATTAACAGGAATAGCTTTGAAAAGTGGTCCATTCAATTGCAGTACCCATCTTTGTCGCGTAACAATGGATTGCCTATCCCTAGCCATTCATGATGGTAAACAGACAAACCGAAAGGCTCTGCTACCGGAATACATTGCAGTGCTAGAAGGGCATGCAATCCACTGTTCGCAAAAAACCTTTCTTATGGGAAGGATTAATAAACATTTTAACGTTATTTGTGTTATTATATGCCAGTATATAAACTACGATTGTGATTGATATTTAGATATATGATTCTGCCAAGTTAATATCCACCCCCTCCCTCTCTTTCTCCCCCTTCTCTTTCTCTCTATCTCCTTCTCTCCCCTTCTCTCTATTTCCTTTCCCCCTCCCGTTATCTCCATATATCTCTATTTCAGTCTCTGTCTCTAGATCCTCTCGTATCACTTATCTTCTCTACCTTCAAATCGTCGAGTGTCGGAAGTTCCCTTCTCTTCATACGATAACAGGGCTACAATATTCCTGATAAAAAGTATTAGATTCTAAGTTTAGTGAGCAAAAATAATGTTCAATGTATCTAATTCCACACTTTTCTGAATCTACACATTCTATTAGGCTAATTTTGTTTTCCTACATCTGTTTACGTGTGCTTTCAACCCATCTTAGATGCAATAATAATAGGTTATATAATAATGTAATGTATTCGGATGTAATGTTTGTATTCCATTAGAACATTTCAACCATAAACTCATCTCGTCCTATATTGTGATGTCCTATCTTTTTCTCGGGATCATTGTGTTTCATTTTTTCTGATAGTACTTTTTTTTAATAGATAGTTTCATCGGGTGCTTTGGGTCTATTAATTTGTGTAAACGAAAACTAAACGTGGATATTCATGGTCGTAATACACTATTCATATAGTGTCATCTTTGAAAAAAGGGTGTATTTTTCTTTAAAACTAGCTGAATTTTTTTTGAATGGGATGTAAAGAATATGTCCTGGGTGGAGAGAGGTAATGCAGATAAACTTAATTCTTAACCCGACGGCTAAAACTAAACGAAATTTCCTGAAAAGAGGACGGGAGACTCGAACCCTAGATCCACTCATTCGAGTCACGTACCGTACTAAGAGACCACGACGTTCTGTAACTTTCTTCTTTGTGTTTGTTTCATCTTCATCTTACATTTGTGTGGCTTCGACCATATAGTCACTATTGATCATACATTTTAGATAGATATGCGTAGATGTAGCACAAGTTAATTGTAGCATAGACATTAGTTCCACATCGTCTTTTCAGTATCTTTCCATTTCATCTCTTTCATATTGATCTTTCCCGAATTTCCATTTATGTAAATTGTGTGCTTGTAAAGGTTGTTTGGGATCGGTTGTAGGAAAGTAAATGTTTCTCAAAGTTTATTTCGCTCGTCAAATCTAAGCCACCCCTTTCTCTCTTTTCATTAATGTGTATTCATGATAAACATTTGATAACCCGCGCATGCGCGGATCAAGTGTATTTGAACAAAATAACACATTGGCGGAAAGGAGAGAGAGGATTGATGGATTTAGGAGTGATCTTGTATTTCTTTGATAAATTGAATAAAATAAACACATTCAAAAACAAATTCTTGTTGCAGTCGATTCTGTCTTGTTTCTTAAGCACGGATTGAAAAATAGCTGGTATAAAACATTTAACTAATTATTTCTTATTATATCATTCCCTTCCTCCACATCTCTCTCATCTTTATCTCTATTCCCTCTCCCTCTCTCTAATTCTCTCCCTCTCTCTCTCTCTCCCTCTCTCTAATTCTCTCCCATCTCTCTCTCTCTCTCCCTCTCACTCTCTTGCTCCCTCTCTCTCTATTCTCTCTTCCCTTATTCTTTCTCTAAACTACTGATTCAACCAGGCACATTGCCGTAGAACCCATTCAATCCACTTGTACACACTTTGATAAACTCACCACCTTCAAAACGAAACCTGACTTACAGGCATGATCAAAATCACCACACAATAATAAACAAAATGAAAACAAAACAATTGAATAATTAAAATGTGGCCATTCTTTCTTCATCTCTAATCCAGAAAGAAGTCATCAGAAAACATTATGTACAAAATACATTTGCAGTTTAAACAACTCAATGTTCCTCTAATATCAGATCAAATACTAAATACAAAGTACTTCCATCAATACTACACGTTTTAAAGCATAACTTTATGCAAAAGAAAATATCAACTTTAAAAATCAAAGGGATATGTAAGAGCAATAATACATGACAGGAGACTTCAAAAGCATAGCAGATGGGGGAAGGGGCCCAATTGATGTTGGATTTAAGAGAATTTTGTCAGCAACTCCAACATGGGCATAACGAATAATGTGTCTACAGTACTAATTGAATTTGTCAGCACAAAATATGGATATATTGGTAATGTTACGGGAGACAAAGAATGCTATCCCCTAAAATTGGGAAAATGAAAAGTTGAATCCCCATTTAAGATGGCTAACAAGGGCACAACATCTTAGAAAATGATGTGCATTTTAGGATCCAAAATGAACACTTAAGTTTTAGTATGTATCTTGACATAGCAGTGCTTTCATAGTAAAAGTGCAATTAAATATATCTATGGCTTTTTAAGGATAGACTATATTTTGCAAAACATAATAAAATTGACTAAACCATATCAAATTATTGTGTATAATAATGTTGATTGATATATATCTACTTGGTGGTACACTAAATAGCTCAGATTATATTGCAATACTGTAAAACCAGAAACCTTCACTTTATGAACATTTAGTGAATCTTTAATGAAAGCCATTTTCATTGCAAGAAATATTCATAAAATTTCAATTCTATGTTGTCATAACCCTGATTTAATTACAATCAAACCTGCTTTAGGGAACACCTGCATAGAAAGACCACCTCTCTATTAGGACCCATTTTATTTGTATCCCGTGAAATCATTACTCAGTTAAAACATGGACTAAAGGAACCCGAACATAAATATCATGTGCCCATAAAGACCACTTTTCTTTTCTCACTTGAGCATTCTATATACATGTTTCACTGTATTTTGCTGCATGAAACCGGTTGGGATTTGTGAAAGTTCAATGCAGTAAAATAATTTTAGTTTATTCAAAGTTTCATGCACTTAAAGGTTTCTGATTTTACAGTATCCAATACATACCCCATCATACACAAACATACACAGCAAAGACAACAGTGTACTATTAAAAAAGCAAATATATTGTATGTTACATCGAAAACAATGAGAAAAACAAAAGGTATAGTATACAGGATGTGATCAATATAAATAAAAATGATTTGATGGCAATTTTTTTTTGGGGGGGGGGGGGGGGTCTTTTAAGATTTCTTTTCCGATCTAATAAAAAAAAAAATTAAAACACATGCAATACAAATGGAAATTACATATATAAAGAGAGTATCTATGGGTCTGATGAAATTCATAACAGAAAAACTATATTAACAAAAAACCCTTCAATCACAGAAAATAGATGAATTGATACTCCCAACGGTTGAGGAAGCAAACATAGATTTAAATCGAGATATTTCTTGCTAACAAATGTATACAGATACATCAACAGATACATCAAATTTTATGAATGATATTATTATTGATGGACTTATAGTTATTAGAAAGACTTTTATTTTTATGCTAAACAACTTTCTTGACAAACTATCTAACCCAATAATACAATTTACCCATGAATGTATGGCAAGGGATTGTTTATTATATCTACGATAAAGTTTTAAAAATTGTCTCTTTCTTTGAGCTAAATTAAAAGTATGATGGTTTATAGAATTCAATAAAATGAAAAATACTTAACCACTAAGATATCATATAGAAGTGATACATAATTCATTGGGAAAGCACAATCTAAAAGTGCCATCAATGTCAATAAAAATACCCAGATGTGCAACTTTCACTTAAAATGGTTGTCTTTCTATGAACTTTCATTTTTACAATAATCATAAAATATTTTGTTTAATCGCTACACTTTCACCATAAACAAAGAACAAAGCAGAAAAATGCATTGTACTTAAACTGGACCTGATTTCTAGAGTTTCCATTTGTTCTACCTTTTGGCAACATACTAGTATCTTGGAAATAATGCTGAGAAATTTCTGCAAATAATAGTTTACACGTATAATACAATGAAGCTTTAAAATCAAGATACTGATTTCTTTTTGTCTGTTGTCTAGTAAAGAGAAGTATAATACAATTGATGATCTTCCCAAAGGCACGGTGATGTCAAAATGTTGGCTTTTAAGTTTGATACAAGTACATGTATAATAGGTTGGCAAATTGAATGAGTAATAAACAAAGACACGATCATACATACAATCATACACACATATCATTTGCATTATGTGTCACATTTTATATACATGCTACACCTAACATCTCAATAATACAAATGAGTTGATTAAATATAATATAATATTTCTGATTGAAGAAAAAAAAATGGAAAGGTAGTGACATTACTTATCACAAACCTTTGAAATGTTATTGCTGTGCATACAATTTTGCTGTACAAAACCATTGTACAACTAGGCATGGAATATACCACAATTGAAAGTTTGAATTTCATTGATAAATTCAAGGGAAATAATGCTGTACATGAGAACATATGAAACATCTTGTAGAACTGATACAATAACAACTTTTAAAAAAGAAGATTACAAGTTAATAATTGTTCTCATGTTGGTAAGTACCAATTCCAACTTTTACAATTAAACTTAATGAAATGAAGGAATATATGTCCGAAGCATTATGTGCAGCAAGATAACAAAAAAATAAAGAAACATAAATAAATATTTTCTTGAAATTTCACGCCGTGTATCATTTATGCTCCTTTAACAAATGATAATCAGGTCAAAGCTAATCAAAATGAGGAACATATTTTTTTCCAACAATAAACAACTTTTTGATCATATCTCCTGTCTTATTTTCACATTTCATTAAAAATGTAGATTAATATGCATAAAAATGATGACCCTCACAACTTTTAATAATATATCCATAAGAACGTTGATACAAAATCTTATCATAAACATAAAACAAGAAATCTGTCACATAATCAAAAGGCATTTAAAAGTCTTTCAAATCCTTCTCACTGAAATACTCATCATTAATGGAATGCATTTACTACTTGTTCTTATTTAGTATCATTTGGCAAAAAATCCATTTGTGTGTCATTTTACATTACTTGAACTCGAGGTTGACATATTTCTCAAAATCTGTGAGTTACATATGACATATAAATACTTACAAATGTTTAGTACTTTCAAATTTTAAAACTAACAGTAAAATAAAAATCCAGAAACTATCCTTTCACTTGATTTTCCACTGTGATAATTTTTATAAGATATTTTGCATTTCTTATGACCATTACTATCTTAAAAAAAGGAAAATACAAATTTCAACTTAATGAAAGCCATGTGACAGTGCGGATTGTTTGAAATATGTTTGTGGGCAAGTGTAGAACTACAAAACTCATAATAATGCCTGACTTTCGACTTCAGCCTACAGACACACACATACAAAAAAAACCTATCTGCCGTTGAATAAATTGAAGTTTCAAATTCAGATTCTCAAGATGTAAGTAGAATAATGAAAAGCCTTACAAAAAACACACTATTGAGACGAAAGGGGTGGTTTCAAGAGAAGATCTCTAACAGTACTGTTTTGAGATATAGTACCATTATGTAGATGTCTTGAGTTGATTTTGATGTATTTGTAGAAACTCTGCTGTTAAAAAGTCTGCTAAAATGAATCAGGCTCCAAGAATGGCGATCAAGACTCGTTTCAGTTGTGTTTTTTCCAAATGATAAAAATGTTACTATTACTACTGATCTTTTCATGGTTTTCAATTGCCTCATCTGCAATTTTTATATACTGGTCATGATGATCCAAGTATAACTCCTACGCAAGACTGTAGATGCAGATTTTAAACTGACACATTGTAACTCATAACAATTCTTTACACACTTGTTGATATAAATATTGTACATTAGAATAAGATTTAAATGAAAGAAAATATAAAGAAACATGGACTGTAATTTAGCCTTCTGTACTTTAGACATCTTACCCTGACAAAAATATAAGGTCTTAAAAATACTACCAATAATTCAAATATAACAGTCCACACTGATGTGAGCTTTGGTTGGCAATATGAGGAGGATTATAGTCATTAAAACTTGCTCTTCTACAGAAGTGACTAACATGATGGATCTCCCAAACGGCAGGAATTCTTCCCACCAAGATCAAACAAAAATACTGACGGATATGTGACATAACTTTCCCTTTAAAAGTCACTCCATTAATGATGGTCATTTTGAACTGTTGCCATTACCATGGGAACTTAGGACAGAGTTGAATGTATTCACGTCACTGCCTTGCCTTGACTCACTAAAGATGATCTCCTTTCCATATAAACACTTGGAATATATATTTGAAGCAGATCATTTCTGAGCTTGGTCAACGTCGGAATTCAATTGCATTTCTATGGACAGCTTGTGCGACAAGACGCGACTGAATTCACGCCCTCTTGGGCCATACAAAAATGTTGCCGCTGGACACGAAGAGGAAAAAAGTCTTTCTTTTTTTATGGATGGATTATGAGCATTGTTTGATGTTCCTGCCGCCGTCGGGTTGTTCCGTTGATAAGACCTTGAGACTTTGGTCAATGTTGAAGTTCCTGAGACACCCTGTCATGCCTTCTGAGTAGAGGTTCATTGTCGTCTCAACCATGTCATCCATTCCACCTGCAAGATCAAAGACACAAGGAGATGGCCGGTTAGACAAGAGATATCGTACAAGGTTGAAATCAGTTTCGGAGGCATAGGTATTGTTATTACAACTCAAGGGTTATGTATTTTTGACGGGTCTTTAGTCAACATTGTCTACATTATAACTTGAAAATGTAATGAGAAAATTTCATGGCTCAACTTTAGCGTTTGCCCATGAACTTGTGAGAGAAAATGAAGCTTCTAAATAATTCAAATTAGTTCAGAAAAAGACTTTAAAAAAAAGATCAAAATCATTGCTTCCATGTTTGAGAGAGTTATAAGGTTGGTGTAAAGGAGAGATAGATGTTGGCTGAATTCAAACTTTAAACTTCTTCATCCATCTAATCTTAAATTGAGAGTTTCAACATATTTTGCACCCCTTTATATTTGGTGCAAATGTTCCCAGACAAGACAATTCATCAACAGAGTTGAACTTGGTCCTTTGTAACAGGTAAGATTAACTCTTTAAAGGAAAACTCTAACCATGGATAACACCTGCCAGACCTAACAGCAAAAGTAGCGATTTCTAAATGATGTAGTAACATGCACAATATGAAGATAATCCACACTAGATCACTTTACCTAGGTATAAGCCATCATTGACATTGAGTTGCCTGAAGTCTTCTCCACTGGCCTGGTTCGTGACTGCATTGTCGTTGTCTACTTCCATGATAGCCACAATGCCTAGCCTGTCTATCCTAACGACGTGCCACTCCCCGTCGTTGACAGGTCTCCTGCTTGTTAGGACTGCCTCCCCTCCTCCAAGGTTGAATCTGGAACGTTCAAAAAGATATTCACAATAATTACAAAATCACAATCAAACTCTAAATCAGTAGGATTAACTATCTCTTTCTAAGGTTGAATTAGATATTAAAGTCTCATATTTAGAATCTAATGACAGCAAAAACTCAAACTCAAACTGTAACTGAATTTAGGTTTATATTTTAAATCAAAAGGAAATTGAGACCAATATCTAAATAACAATCAAACTCTATATATACTAAATCAGTCCATCAAAATACAATTTATACTCCACATTGAAATGCAAACTCAACCTCAATCTCAACTCGATTAAACTCTTCACTGGAGATATGGCTCAAGCTTGTCACAACTGATCTCAGATTTACTTTCAAACTCCTTCTAAAAAAAAAGAACTCTCTCTGTCATTGACAGGACCCCTGATTGATAAGACAGGTTTTTCCACTCTTCACCTGTCTTTTTCTAAGGTTGAGTTTGATATTAAAATTTCATATTCAAAATAAAATGACAGCAAAAACTCCAATTCAAGCTGAAACTGAATTTAGGTTAATATATCAAATCAAACTTCATGACCAAAATTTGAAGTCAAATCCAAGCTAAAGCTCAAAAACATTAAGCATTACGATATCATATTTTAGGAAATGTCAGAAAGTCTACTTGAATTTCAAAGAAACACATCAAGTAGTAAAGCAAACATTAATTCCTTATTTGGAAGTTAAAACAGGAACAGAATGGACACTTTGATATGCCAAACTGAGCAAAAGTTTGTGTATACAAAGGCCATACTATAAGTCTTATGGTTTCTTTTTAATCGGACAATAAAGACTTTCAGAGCTTTAATTGTAATATCCTCATTATGTCACCTCATATGTCTGGCACTGGTCACTTACCTTAGTAAAAGGAAGCCATTTTCAAGGCCCATAGCAATGAAATCACTTCCTGAGGTCATACTGGAATGACCTGCCCATAGGACCAGACCGTTGGGCTCTGTGGCTCGGAGTTCAAAGGAGAACATGTTCCTCTCCCCTGACAATCTGCAAAGCAAATGAAAGTGGGAAGATGATGATATACATTGCAAAGATATGATGGTCAATAGATGAATTACTGTATATAACAATAGTCTGTGTAAAGATAATTCCATGGAGGACAGGGAAACAGATATTTGCGAGTTTCATTTTCTTAATAATTAACACAGGCTTCTCATGGTACATATTTGCAAATGTATTACCAGCTAAATTTTGCAAGCTGTTGAATTCATGATGCTCAAAAAATTTGCAAAAATCTCCCCCCCCCCCAAAAAAAAAGAAAAGACCCCACCAAATAATGACTTATACAGCATGGCCATTTCATGATTACCAGTAAATGAAATAAGGATAATAAAAATGGATTTTTTTTTTTCTTGTATAGCACCGGTGTCTGTCTCTGGTGGGCGCTTTTGGCACTTGCTCTACAATGTCTCACAAATTCAACATTCCTGGTCAGTGTTTCAAATTAGGATCATTTTCCATTGGTCACAGCTGGCATTATTCACAATATTCAATGTAAGACTACCAAAAGTAAACAGAGTTGGGAAAGTAAATGAGAGACAGTCATTGGAAAACAGAGAAATGTCTCGGAGAAGGGAGATGGTAAGAGATAAAGTGAGATTGAGGGGAGAAAGAGAGACAGAGACAGATGGATAGAAAGACAGAGATAGTGACATACACTGCAAAATCAAATAATGGGAGAATAAAGAGAGAAGGGAAAGAGCAAATCATATCATTAAGAATAGTCAAGTTATGAATGCTAGGTGACAGTTAATTACGTAGATGCTATGTAATGAATGCAGCAGCTCTCTCTACTTTCATTTATGCAATGAAACACAGTTTGTAAGGTAAGTTATACAGACATGTTTAATAAGGTGTTAACTAACTAAAACAGGGTAGTCTTACCTGGAAGTAATTTCATTACTGGCAAACCAGAGATAACTCCTTCCTATGAAGCTAGGTTCTGTGACAGTTTCTTCAATTTCTATATCAGAGAGACAAAGAGAGATATAATGAATAATAATATGTGAGATTTGTAAAGCATCAAATCCACTTGAAATCAAATGCTCCCGGCGCACTTGCACAAAAAATTATAAAATCACATAAAAAAATCTGCATTATAAGCAAAAGAACATGAGAACATATATAAATGAAAGAGAACAGTCAGGTATATGCACAATCAATCAGATACATGTTAAGATCTTTTAAGAAAGAAAGAAAGGGGGAGAAAGAGCTTGAGTGAGATATGCAGGACAAACCTCTCGTGAAAATTCACTCATTTCCTGGGCCCATAGGATGCTTTTATACACAAAAGTATTATATATATATTGTTAGATCACCTATATCATCTACACACATGTCCAAAAGGAAATCACAAAGCAGTAGTCTACCATAGTAATTGTTTGTAAATTTTTAATTGTAATTGTTTAAAGCACTACCAGTATATAAAGAGGTTACACACATTACAGTGAAATTTGATTCATTGTAAAACATCTTTAATTAAAAAAAATGAATGAAAAATTCCCTATGATCACCACTTTGTTTGAGCAGTACATTAGTTTTTTTTTATATCACTTGTTTACACAAAATGCTCTGAAAAAAAGAGCAGTTTCTAAATTTAATCAATTCAAAGCACTCATAATTGAAAGAAAGGAAATCTACATATAACCCTTGCAATACTGACCTATTTCACAGTAGGTTCCCTTGAAGCCTAGTCTACAATCACAGAAGTAGTATTCCTGAAGTGGGTGGCACTCTCCATTGTAACCACATGGCCGCCCCTGGCATGGATGGTGGGCGTTACCGACATTAGCCCCGCCCACGGCCTCATTGATCAGATCTAACGCGTTATCATTGACTAACACCTGCAAGAAGAAAAAAAAAAGGGATATTATATAAATCAATGAAAGACATACAGTATGTATATAATATCAGTGTATTCCATTTTATATACATTTCATATGACAATCATTTGTTGATTCCGATCCCAAGAAAAAATGAGAGATTTATTTGTTATTTACAAGTGCCTATTTGGTAGACAAGAAAGAGAAACAAAGCTATTACTCAACTCATCTCCTCCTTCTTCTCCTTCTTCTCTGTCTCTCTCAAACTTTTCATCTTCTCCTTTCCTCTGCTTCCAACTGTCTCTTGCCCTCTCTCTCTCTCTCTCTCTCTCTCTCCCTCTCTCTTTCTTTTCCCTATCTTGCTGTATCTAACTATCTTTCACCCTCTGCATGTCACTCTCTCTCCCTCTCTCTTTCTTTTCCCTATCTTGCTGTATCTAACTATCTTTCACCCTCTGGATGTCACTCTCTCTCCCTTTCTTCTTCTTTTCCCCTGAACCTAACTCTTATCTCACACCTCTATCTCTGACTATCCCTCATCCTTTTAATATCTCTCTTTCTCTCCCTTTCTTTTACTTCCTTCCTAGATCTCCCTTTTATCTCTTCCATCTATCTCTGACTATCTCTCATCCTCTCTCTTTCTCTTTCTTTCTCTCCTTCTCTCCCTTTAATTTTCCTTTCCTAGATCTCACTCTCATCTCTTCCATCTATCTCTGACTATCTCTCACCCTTTGGATATCTCCACTGAATGAATTCTTGACTGCCATCTCTCTGGACAGGAGGTCGATATCATCAATGCCTCCGATGTATAGGTTTGTATCAAACGATGTTTGCGTGAAGGCTCCAGGGGCTAAGGCTGTAACCGTAGGTTGGTTATCCACCCTCAACATACCTTCTCGGGCCGTTCTGGATACCTCCACAATGTGCCAATTATGAAGTGTTACTGGCCGGGTTGATCTGCAGACAATAGAGGGAGACAATGAAATACATGTTAATTTGAATGCTTCAAAAGCTATATATGTAATCTTATTTGGGACTAGTTCTTAAAATATAAAGGAAAATTACAGCCAGATATAAAGTTTTTTTAAATAAAAGCACAATATGAGAGAAACTTATGAAGAAAAAAAATTAAGGGAAATCCATTAGAGATATGGATTTTTACAATTGTTTTATATTAAACATATAGAATAATGTATTTCATCTTGTGAGCAGCCCTCCATTTTTTTTTGTAATAAGAATTAACAAAAGTATCCCTCTATCTGGTTGAAGATGAAAAAGTACACTTATTTATTAGATGGTCTATAAAAACTACCACTACCACTAACACCAACACCACCTGTAACATCACTATGACCACCGCCAGCATCACTACCATCATCATCATCACTACCATTTCAAGTAATCCTTTGCACTCACTCCATGTCTTACCTCAAAACAGCGGGCCCTGAGCCACAATCAAACTTAAAGCCAATGTAGTTCTCATCCAGCGTGATGGAGAAGAAGTCCCCCTCCCTGGATTCCGTACCGCTGTAGATGAGGATCCCAGACGGCTCCTTGGGTTTGAAAATGATCTCCATCTGGAGGAAGGAGAGATGCTTCTTGCCGAGGGAGTCATGGGCGATGTGGGAGGAGTGGGAGCTGTTGAACGATGGGGTGTGGATCTCAATTACTGCAAAGAGAAAAAGAGGTAAATAAGAAATATATTTAATATATCATATATTTAAAAAAGAGAGAAAAAAGAGAAAGATGGAAATAAATATAAAAAAGAAAGGCATTGGTGATTATAGTCAGTTCTTGACTGATTGACATTAACCAACAAAAAAACAACAACATGTGTATATCATTTGAGTATTTTCTGAGGTTTATAATTCAATTTCAGTTCTCTCAGCCGATGAAATAAAGGATTTTGTTGATGCTTCTTTGAACTATAAACAGAAGCAACATGCAGAATAGAGCTAGAGAATAGCTAGAAGACAGTAGCAAGCAGGAGTAGAGACACATTTTCACACACTCAAATGGTCCATAACCATGACACTCTCTCATTAGCATACAATGAGTAAAAATGTAACCATCAGATAATACAATATTTGTAGCTCAATAGCACATTAACTGTATCATTTCTTGGGAGTTTTTTGTTTTGTTGGCATTTTCCATTTTCCTCAAACACAATTTGTATATATCCTATTTTATTTTCTACTTGCTCTTACCTCAAGGACAGATAGAATGGTATGAAAAACAATTCTGTAACTTCTTTTCTTTCTCTCTCTCTCCAAAAGAAAAGAAAACAATATGTTCTAGAAACCTGGATACAATGAAATGCTGAACATGTTCCTCATTTTTCTGCGCTTGCAGTATTTTGAGATCAATAATAAAAAAAAAAATCCATTGCAATATGCTTCTGCCTATCAATAGCTAAGAGTCAGCAGGTTGCTAACTTGCATTAACATACTTGACATCTTCAAGCATGCGAGGGATTGTATCAAACTGTTTTCACAAGCAACATTAATTCTCACTTGTCAATAGCTAATCCACCTGCCCAAATTCAATATTGCACTATTTCCCTTTACGATAGCTAGCTCGCTTCATCTTCAGATGTAACACCACAAGCAGACTGCACAAGGGCTCAACAGTCACTTATGTCTCTATGGCATGCCTGGGGAAATGAAAACGCATGTATGATGATGCTCGTGTTGCCACAGTAACGCTACATGAGTATATTAGTTCAAGCTCCACAAGGACTGCATCTACCAAATGGCCCTGGGCTCGCGTTTGAGTAAAGATAAGGAGCTTGATGAAAACATAACGAGCAACTACAAAGGGCATCCTTTGAATCTCTAATGTGGGGAGGGGGGAGGGTGGGGGGTGTACTGGTCTTTTTTCTAAATACCATCTCTCTACCACCCCCTCCTTCCTCGCCTCCACATTATACAAACATCCTATTTGTGTTTTTGTATTTTAATATCTTCTTCTCAGCTATTCAGCCTCTGGGACAAACGATACTGGTTATGTCAACACGCCTATGAATAGAGTAATGTGACTTAACCTAATTCCATTCCATGCTCGTAGTGTTTAAAGGTTGTCCACGTGAATACTGAACATGAAAGACACAACTTCACACTTGACTATGATATGCTTGAACATGATTTGTGTTTCTTTGGATGTATGCAACATCCTTCGGTCAAAGAAATTGAGAAGGCTTCATGTCATTTATTTCTTGTGAGGATCTTGTCTTCACCATTACGCCATTGGTTTGTAAAAAATAAATGCAAAGTGAACTGTAAAACAAAAATGAATTGCTTGCAGTACAATAAAAGATAATTCAAAAAGTTTTAAGCATGTTGTTTCTTACTGCATCAATACTAACAAGTATAAGCGTTAATCATGTCTATCATTATCAATATCATCATCCTCATCCTCATCATCCTCATTATCATCAGCATTATCATCAGCATTGTCATCATCATCACCATCATCATCATCCTCCTCCTCATTATATTACTTTGAAAATTTTGATACGATCTCTCTTTAAAAAAATTAATATCAAGTCTTAAGCTATATTACACCTATTTCATCTTGCTCATGCATATGTACCAGCTTCCAAAGTGACACTAGACAGAACAATTACATGGGATTTGAAGGGATTTGAAGGGTTAAAGCATTTTCTTTCTGCCGCCTGCAATTTAGACCTTCTAACATGAATCACCTACAAATACATTCTCAAAAGGAGCTCTCAAAATCACCACCCTGACAACTGCTTGCCGTATCTCTATCAGTTGCTATCAACATTCTAGGTCAGGAGGAAAACCATTTTTCTTTCTTGTATTCCAAAGAGGCTTGATGAATCTAGACAGATATATTAGATTGCTTCAATACGCATGGATATATTCTGACCTCCCATATACCCATTCATGATGTATTCTGCAGATTGGTATACAATGTATGGATAATACAATGTGTGTAGGAATTCAACTGAACTGAAATGAATTGAAACAAAATGAATCAAATTGAGTTGAATTGCATTGAATTGAAATAAAATGAGTTGACGTAGTATTGGTTGCCCTAAATAATCCCAGACAATTCCAGGGCTGAATTACAGCAGAATTTACATTGTAGAAGACACGGTTAACAATAAAAACATTGATATTGATAGCCAATAACAACCAAGATTAAGGATTCATTGATTTTCATCAGAGGTCTAATGATACAATAGTGCTAGAAGGAGGGGGGGGGGGGAGACTGAAGAATGAAGAAGATACAAAAGGGGGAAAGAAAATGTTTCCGCATAACAGGTGAGAGCATTCGATCAGTGTTAACAAAACATCCATGAATTTGTACTATGGGGCTGTATTTAATGGGTAATGCTCTGTTTTCGTTTCTCATCTACATCAATATCATCATTAATCTCCATTTGAAGAACAAGCCAAATTCATTTTACATGTATCTGATAATTTGCACACAAGTACTTGTTGCTAAATTCCCTGGTATAAACACATTTTATTTCCTCTATCATTTTGTCTTTTTATTCCTATCAAAGTGATGAATACTCAATGTGCGGTATCTCTTCAAATTGAATCTGGGTTTTACAATTTGCATTCATTATCCTCACCTTCTGAGAAAACGCTGTATCAAACATATCATTTATAATGTACGATCACTGTGCCTTACTCTTAACATTGTGTGATATGAAATAAAAACAGTATATTTTCTAAGTATGGATAAGAATGCTTTTGCATGAAAACTTGATTTGAGTAATTTTTTCATCAGAATGCTTGAAATAGATGGTTCCTCCTCCAAAATCTTTGCATTTGAAGGACATAAAGGACGTCAGCCAGAGACTGTAGCAAATCATGAATTGTAAATTGGTAGTTGAGTGCATCCTGCTTAGACCCCTTCAATATTGAATGACCTTCATTGTTTCAACCCAAACATAAGCTATTATTTCAATTTGAAATACCCTTTGAAGGAATTATCAACAACATATTCTTTTGCTATATACATGTATGAAATAGCTGTGAGTAGCAAAGTGCAATATTTGTAGTAGACAGTACGGCCTTGAACTTGAAGGCATTTAAAGGTACACTGAATTATCAATCTACAGCTAATTAAGATGGGTAACAGAGGAAGTTATAATAGGTCATGTGTGAATACCATTGATATAAAATAAAGATTGAAGGCCAGAGAAAGAATGACGGATAGTACAAGAATAAAATCTATAATTCATGTAGAAAGAAAGAAAGAGAAAAGAAGAAGAGAAGGATGGAGAGAAGAACAGAAAGGATAGATAGAGACAGGGAAAAGAGATTAGAGAGGGGGATGGAGAGTGGGTAGAGGACGAGAAGGAAAGAGCAGGAAAGGGATGATAGGAGAGGGAAGGGAGAGAGTGACAAAGAAAGAGATTAGATGCATATATATATATATATATATATAGATATATATATATATATAGAGAGAGAGAGAGAGAGAGAGAGAGAGAGAAAGAGAGAAACAGAAAGAGAAAGAGAGAGAGAGAGAGAGAAAGAGAGAGAGAGAGAGAGAAAGAGAGAGAGAGAGAGAGGGGGGATGCATGCATAATGTAAAAGCACAGGAATAAAATAGATAAATAGACAGAAAATCAGGCTGGTAAAGTTTAAATAAAGAAAATTTAAATAAGAAGAAATGAAAAAGCAACTAAACAAGAAAAAAAGAAGACAGAAACAGCAAGAGAAGCATATTGATAGATGAATAAGAAGAGAAGGGAAAAAGGGGCAAGAAACAAGGATTATAGAAGAAATAATGAAGGAGGGAATTATATGGTCTACAGAAAAAGTATTCAACTGGAAGCAAGAAAGAAAAACAGACATTTGAAAGTCGGCGAAGAATTCAAGCAAAATAAATCTGGCTCACATGTGAGGTACCAGCATACCTTGAAGGGGAAAAAATGAACTTCAATCTACCTTTTATCAAAACAAAATTAATAAATTGGCCGAGTGAGGTGAAATCAAAAGAAAATAAATGGGCCAACCATGTGCTTCAAATCACATATGTGTGTGATCGACTATGTGTGTGGCTTGATCTCTAGAAATATATACCATCACATATCTCACATTTGTATATGTGTGTTATAATACCATGCGATGAACCCTAGGTGCGCTACGCTGTTCTTGACTTAGAGAATTAATAAGAATGAAAGGGTTAAGAAGTACGCTCATGTAATGAGTTTGGTATTACATAGTAAGTTCTTATTTTGTATTTTTTCTTTAAGCAGAAGCTTTTAACCTGCTACAAATTCAACAGATCATAAACAGAAATGTATATGAAAACAAAGATATGCATGGTAGAGTAATACTTATAGGCTTGGATTCTTGGGCAAATATATATTGATGTAACTATATTTTTCTCTTTCAGGAAATACAAGAATCAGAATAAAAAAAATGTTGGATCATAATGTTTGCTCACAATCAGACATGTAATCAGGGAAATTTCAAATTGCAAGAACAAAAAAAATCAAGGGAAATATAATAATATAAAAGTTAACAACATTAAAGGGTTTCCCTGGTAGAGATAGCTATCTATACATTATGGTTACTGTTCACAAACAGGAAGTCATGATTTTCTACCTTCATACTCTCAAATATTGGCACTGAAATAGGGATTCGCACAAGCCAATGAATCCAGTCATAACCTTGTGACTCATTCGCTAACCCTTAGTCGGTGGCCAGATGTCATGCAATATTGATTATCAATTGATTATTGGTCGCTACTGAATAATTTTTTGATAAAGATTAAATGGCTCTTACATAGAGGTGTCGTGGTCAAGTGGATTCGTCACCAGACTGTTGATCACAAGGTCCGCAGTTCGAGTCCTGCCGCGGCACTAATGTCCTTTGGCAAGACATTGATCTACATTTGCCACACTCAACCCTGGTGATGTAAATGGGTACCTGGCAGGAATTAATTCCTAAAAATGCTAGAGCGTCGTAATGGCAGCAGTGCTAAAGCCAGGGTACTAATCAGGAGCCCCAGGAGCATCAAGTCTGACAGATACAAGCGCTATACAAGAACCCAATATTATTATTATTATTACATGATATAAACTGATTCTGCCGGGAGCTTGACTTACCATCCTCGCATACTGAGCCGTGTGTTCCAAGAGGGCATAGACACATGGCTTGATCCGGTGACCTGCCGATACATGCTCCCCCATTGGTACATACATGATGCTTGCATACACCATCACTGCATTCACCTGCATGGGTAGGGTCAAGGTTTCAAGATGTTCCATTCAATGACAATTACAAACAACAACAAAGTTACAATGAATATAAAACTCTAACCCTAGGGATGAGGTCATAGTAGCCCTTATGATTTCTGAAGTTCAGTTTTATCATTATATTCATCATCATACTGTCCCCTGACCTGACAATTAAGCCATGAGGTCAAAGGTCGATCCCAATCCTTTCTATAGATCAATAGATCAATGGTATCTAGATTAACATATAGTCTGTTTCCTTACCATGATTATTGTTAATGAGGTCAAAGGTCAATTGCTTTGTAAAGTTCAATGTCTTGACCATGCACTCACCAACATTCTGTCCTCCAAGCATGGAACCTTTGGGATAAGGCCTAAGATTCACATCCATGTTTAAAATGTCAATGCTCTCAAACAACAAAGGTCATTGTTACCATGTGAACTAGGTCAAAGGTCTCAAACGACAAAGGTCATTGTTACCTTAGCAGCTAGGTCAAAGGTGAAAGGTCATAGTTACTAACAACTCACCAACATTCTGTCCTCCAAGCATGGAACCCTTGGGATAAGGCCTAAGATCCAAGTCCATGTTTGAAATGTCGATGCTCTCGATACATCCTTTGAAACCTTGGAACATGTGCTTGATCCTTAGACCATCACGGACCTCTGCAGTGGTGTTGAACCCTCCGACAAAGAGGTCTCCCTTCAAAGTCACCATGGAAAACGTACCCTGTATAACATTGTGTGCAAAAAGGAAATAGCATTTGAAAAGTTACAAGGGTGGTATAATTGTATTTAATCATTTAGTTTGGTTTTATCAAAATAGGTTGACCTGTTCTGTTATCTAGTTCTAAGCTCTTATTTTGTTTCTCTTATATCTGTATGTGTTCCCTCTTATTTTTGTTCATTTTTTATATCTACATGTAAATATGTCAGTTTTAATAATATGTGTCCCTCTTATTCTTGTTAATTGTTTATATCTTCATGTAAATACGTTATATGGACCTCTGCTCTTGCAGTCGAGTCTGGAATAAAGTCTTGAATTGAATTAAATTGAAAAATGCCCATCTGAGGCAATATTGAAATTCTATGGTATTCTGGTATTAACAACAAAAAAATACATTAATTACTCTATATTTCATTCTTCAACTTAAATTTAATATGTTCATACTATGTCTGAAGTACATGTGTAACTACATAAAGCAAAGAAAACAATTTTTCATGCTACTCCACAGGATAAGCTGTACTTTTAACATCTAAATCTTATAATAATATCTTGTGTTTTTATAACAGTGACTCACAGAGTTGCAGTGACCTTAAACAGGAAATAGTCAGGTGTTTATTTAACTCCCAGTCAGCTGCCCAAAACAGGAAAACTGTGAATTTTAATTTTCCTACGTACTATCATTTGTTGAATTCATGCTTTAGAAAAATGTGACAGGTGAAACTAATGGGAGGTCAGATCTATACATCAGTATTGTGTAATTTCAACAGTTTATCTGTTAAAAGCCAGAAGGGCATGAGCTCATACTTTTACAGAAAGCTAACACCCTTCTGGCTCCAAACAGACAAAATATGCTTGGATTCTATCTACATGTCCTTCACATTGAATTAATCAATACTACCATTACAACTAACAGCACATTGTCATATTTCATGAACAAGGTTATTTTTCTGACAAAAACAACCATTTTGGAACTGCATAGGATATTTCACCTTCAACTTTAAAAGTACACACACATTTCTGGGAATAAAGGTTCTGCTGCCAAATTGTAGGAAACAAAAGCTCATGAATAACAGCACGATGTGAAGAATACAAACAATTTGGTGCCAAACATTGAGATACATGGAGTTAGGTTTGTATAGGAGTTACACAGGAGTGCTTTCCACATCATTTGAATAATTTTTTTTGCAATCTATGAAACCTTTTCTCTCTAAAAAGACAATGTCTCAATTTTCCTGATGTTCTTAGAATACTTTAGTTGCCATGGTTATCCAGTAGTTAGTAGAGGGAGTTATGATGACTTACCGGTGTGGTACCCCTGACCATACGAGCATCGTCAAGTTGGAGCCAACCTTTACGAGCATCTCTACCGATCTTGAGAGTGTGCCACTTGTAGAGGGTGACAGAGGTCCGGCTGGTGATCACGGCTGCTCCCTGACCACAGTCAAACCTTTAAGAGAGGATAACAATTGTATGAGAATTACATAAAAAAATTATAATAAACACTGCTTGTATATACTGTAAGTATGAAGAAGGAGAGGAAGGGAAGTGGGAGGAGAAGAAGAAGCAAAAAGAACGAGAAGAAGAAGAGGAAGGTTTAATTTATTGATTTTCTAAGTATATTTTGTTCAAGATATATCTTAAAACAGCATCTGAGGAATACTTCAACAAACTCTGCTTCTAGTTAGTTCCTCTTTTCTCGTGTTATTACTGTTATATTTGTCATTTCATTGTATATTTTTTGTAATATACTTATTCATTGTATTATGTTTTGCATGAGACACAGGAGAGAAGTTAGTGAGTTAGTGAGAGAAAGAAAGCAAACAGATGGAGAGGGATGGAAAGACAGACAGAGAGAGGGAGAGAGAGAGAGAGAGAGAGAGAGAGAGAGATAGAGTGTGATAATGAGATGGATAGATAGAGTACGGAGATGAAGAAAACATCAAAAAAACTTTCAAGAGAATATTGTATTACGTTGAAGAAAAGAAAGATTCCAAGAAACCCACTTACAGAAAACTCTGAAGGTGCAGAAAAAAAAAGTCAATTCAATTGAAGTTTCTCACTTTCTCTAAACACCCTCACCAATCCAACACTTTTATGGTAGGCCGACGACGGTGTAATAGAATCTCTTTACAAATTCGTACAGATTGATTGTATCGATTCACTTTGAGGTATCCAAGGCCAGTTTCAGAGTCATTTAGAGGGAGATATAAAAAGAAATCTGGCTAACCGTCCAGCTCTCCACAATTAAGATATCAAGCGTGAGGGGCACAATTTGTAAACACACTCCGGGCAACGCGGCGACTCTTTCTCCCAAGTTCTACACGATTCGTCTGGGTTCAGACGTGCATGCAGCATGTGCATACCATCTTGGAGCCACATTGTATTGATCTGCTTCTCTGTTTGTCTTCCTTTCAAACCATCCCAGTGCTTGTTAGCAAAGATATATCTCATCTTTACATACATGTATCTCTAAATGTGCGACTGAGTTTACATAAAATAGTTGTTTTAATGGGATACTTCATAAATCATATACAAGTTAGATGTGATATATCTAAGACTTCATTCTGAGTTGATTTATCTGCTCATCTTCAAATTGGAAATCTTCTTTTATCTGTTTGTAGCCAGAAGGGCATTAAGTCTGTGTTAAGTGATATGAGTTAATGCCCTTCTGGCTCCAAACAGAGATATTGGTAAATATCAAATTTTAATTGAAATATTAGAGAACTTTTCACTTTACTAATTTTTATGTTATTCTATTTACCCATACAAATTGGCAAACTTATTCAATCAATTTTTTGATAAAATATTATAAATGATGAGCATTATACCTCAAAACATCCTCACTAGCATATGTGATGGAATCTGATTAAATTTTAATGAAGCTCCTTTCCCCATAATCCATTTTATTTTGAATGTGCAACTAAACATATGATTTTGCATGGAAATAAGTTAGCTTCCTCTTGTATTGCTCATATAACTTTTACTTCTAAATTGAATTAAACTTTTCCGCTCGTTAAATGGCTTCATATTACTGCAAGTTCTATGAATCAAAACGGAAGCTGGTCATTAAACTGTGCGGCTACTATCACCATCCTTTCATTCAAAGTCATTTACATTGAATTCAACCTGCTTCAGTTTATGCAAGGATGACAAAGCAAGCAATGAATCCCGGTCGTGGAGCCTCATCTTGTTTAGGTAGGCTTGTTACCAATGCATAAATCCAATTAAAGTACTGTTAATAGAGCGGCAGAGATGATGTGGACACACAAGCCTATGTTACTTATTATACATCATGTTCTAGTCCGGTCTTCATGATTTCATCAATGTCTGTGCTCTATATGGAAGTCATAATGTACCCTGTCTGCTTCTGTGTTGTTTCTTTATTCGATAACTGGGTTAACCTATGGGTTATTTGTTTAGGGCAAGTAAGAAATTAACTACCGGTAATAAACTTAACAGATACATATAATGCATTCTGGCTTTCAGCCAATTTTTTACATTACATATTAAACATGGCTAAATTTGCATCATCGATTATTATTAAACTGAATGAAGAAAGAAAATCTATACCAGTAGCTGATTTCAAGGAGGGGGTACACTTTGACCCACAATGCAATAATTCAATCAGGCATGATACCAAACGTTCAGAATTCTGAATAATGGAACTGGGACAATGAATGACCAAAAGCTGTATAACTGAATAAAAATGTGGATTAGTCATGATGTCTCTTCAATGCCCCAAACACCCACATATTTCTATACTATCAACTTCTTCCAATGCTATAGATACATCTGTCAAACTTGCCCCAAACTTTGAAAAAAGGATATTCCCTCTAAAACCACAACACCCACACAACTACTGGACTTTGCATTTCTGATTCCTTTGTGGCTGAAGATACAAAGGATGGTATATATACACCTGACTTTACAGGACAGGACATAAATCCAACCACCTCCATATTGCAAAAAGAAATGTATGTCACTGTTGGGTATTGAGTCGGTGAATCCATGATTTATTTGGGCACCATCATAATTACAATCCATTATGAAGGTACGCCATCTTTCTTCATAAGTCAAGATACCACAATTTGACATCAATCGAAGTTAATACCAGGGATTATAATAAAGAATTGAGCCAGATTATGATAGAATGGTAATGATAGATAACAGTGGCCTACGGTGGAATAGTTTGTTAACCTTGGCTATGAGATGGAATGAGATGGAATGAATGGCTCTATAGAGGGGTAATAAAGGCTCTTTTGAAGGGGTAAGAAAGGCTCTTTGGAGGGGTAATAAACCCAATCTGCAATAGATACAGGTGACGCATCTATCATGAAGAAGCGGAACAGGTATACACTTCTTGCTAAAAGGCATTTAAGGGAATGGGAGTGTTAAAGTAGGTAGCTTGGTACGTTCTCCGCCTTCTCAAAAGCATACATGAAAATGATCTATTCTAGTAATTGAACAATACAGTCCAACAGAATTTGATCAGTTTATCATGTCAATTTGTTACTATTTATTCCTGGTCTTGTTCGAATAAATGTCAGAAGACTTGAACATTTCATTTTATATAAAATGTTTTTAGTTTTGTTGGCTTGCTCGTAGGTATAATCCTTACTAAGTGCAATGACAAATGACGACAGAAGGTACTTTCTGTGATTCTCTCAGAAGGATAGACAAAAAACATTATTCTCCAAAGGTCAGGACAGCTTAGTAAGGATTTTCAAGCAATTTTCAAAATGGACAAAAGTAAGTAACAAACCATCTCTAGAAAGAAAGGCTTTGAATAATTCATCGCAAAGAGAGAGAAAGATATTGTCTGTAAGGTAAAGGATCTGTAAAAGATCTGTAAGGTTTTCGAAAGGGTGACTTTTAAGCAGAAGCTCTTTGTAATCCACAACAAGGAGATCTGACTCCCATGTTATGATAGAAAATAATCAGATGACATTGAGTGGAAATCTTCCTATTGTGAGAATTTAGGATATGAAAGATTATGATTGCTTTTTGGAGGCATGAGAATAGGATTAGCAACCACAATGATATGAGAATGGTATTGATCTTGAGGCTAAAGCCACAAAATAAAATTGGGTACTGTTAAAAGTCATTCTAGAGATTTACAGAATAAAGGGTTCCTTTGAAACGGGGGTGTGATTGATCTCATTTCTTTTAAATCCTCAATTTTTTTTTCTTATTACAAGCAAAGGTGAAAATGGGTTTTTCACCATTCAACAAATATAGTTTAACAAAGTTTACAGATCAATAATTTATTTCGACTTCACAACCAAACCTCGACTGATGACGTGAAAGAACATTAATATGAGATTAACAGATTGATAAATAGGTGAAAGTTTAACAAAAGAAAAAAGAAACATTGTACTTGACAAAGAAAGCCTTGATATTGAAGTTAAAAAGGCGGCTTTCACAAAGTAAAGTTCCATTCTTCACAAAACATTTAGCTAATCATTCCCCTCCAAAATGATAGACTGTGATACTATAGATAAGCTTAAGATGACAAACATTATAGATGACTAACCTTATGAATCAAATGACAGAAATTAATGGGAACATCAATTACAAAGAAAATGATAGGAAAAAACCAAAGGAACTACAAACATCATATGAACACAAAAAGCTGCATAGATAACACTAATACAGTGAAACCTGCTTTAGCACCATAAAGACCACTTGTCTACAGTGAGCACATTATTCTGTTTCATGTCAATATTGTTTCTCATTGCAAGGTGCGCTAAATAAACATAAAAGTTGGTCAACATTTTACTCCGGCAAAAATTCGCCTCGGGCTTTATATCGTGAAAGCTATAGGATTGCAGTGAGGTTGCGATTGGGGTTAAAATTTAAAGTGTGGCATTCCTTTGATGTTTGACACTGTACGTAGAGCAATTGTCTCAGGAACAAATGTCATACATAAAACCACATAAAGACTGCTTATTAAGACTTGTCATGTCTTCCTTGAGCAGTTCCAAGGCTTTGCTGTAACAGATTATCAATTTTAATAACTTGTTAAAACGGTGAAAAACTAAACATACCTGAAGACAGCCTTCCCATCGACCAGACCGACAGCCATGTAATCCCCTTTACCATCCTCCTCCTGACTAGCAAACAAGAGCCTTCCATTGAGAGACTCAGGCTTGAAGGATATGGTGATGTAGAAGGACTGGTAGAGCTTGGAGGTGGGTACTGGAATCGAGAGGTACGAGGTGCCATAGAAACGAGGGAAGCGAATGTTCACAGCTGTATAGGGAGATATGAGATGAAGAAAGTATGATAGTTATGAGTGACACCAAGATGGACAATTAATGATCAGTGCTGAAAAGTGTAGGAGATAGACCTCTTGGAACATTGGCCCTAAATATCATTCCCCATTTGTATCTAAACACATAATGTACATGTATGTTAAGATACAAATATGGTTGACACTATATACAGAAGTTTTTTGACAGGGAATAACATCATTCGACTCCTTACATGTCTTTCACTGACTTTATAAATGTGTTTTTTTAACGGTAACTGTTTTATGATAGATTAATCAGTCATTGTTACCAGAATAAGCCTCTTCCATACCGGTACTTGATGACCTACGAAGATAACAAGTCATAACTCAATCTGAGTGAGATGTGAATGTACTCCGGTGGTTAAGATGGCAAAAAGATTTAATGTCAATAAACAGCTTACATTCACCTAGCACTAATACACAGCCAACTAATGTATTATTTTATGTAGCCACAACAACTTTTCCTCATTCACTTTATCACGCTATTTGTCACGCTATATATTGAATTCATATAAATAACCATTTCCAAACTTTTACTGATTTTCTTCCTCATTACTCAAGATATTTTACAAATGGACAAAAACCTAATGCATGTAAAAGCATACAATTATGAATGTGCACTCAAATACATTTGAGTAGGTCATAACAAACCTTAAAATACCATAAATCATAGTTATAGGAAAAGCTTCAAAAAACTCTATTTTCCTATTAATAGTATACCCCTTTAATATTTCAGGGAAGTTGCATATTGCTACTGCTATATTTTAAGCTCAATCTCATTTACCTATACATGACAGGCTGTCAGACAGTATTTGATGTTTTCAAAAGCAAAAGCTATAGTTCGATGACATCTAGAAAGGCAAAGTATGCGAGCATAGGAAGCTAATAATACAGGTCTTTATTACATTGGCTTCATCTGCCTTCAAAGCAAGTAAATTGATAGGAATTACCTCACAGACCAAAAGTAATCACTCTTGTGATTAAATTCATTTTTGTGTTTAGTTTGTGGCAATCAAATTTGCTAGAACCTCCGTCGTCGTAATAAATGAGGAAGAAAACAAAATATGCTTCTTCAAATTTCATTATCAGCTTGATAGCATTGGCAATTTGACCAGATCTATCCGGAATGTGGATGCCATAATAAATATGATCTCCTCTGAACCATAAAATAGATGGATATTGGAATGGCACATAAGATGTTTTTTCAATTTAGTGATATAGTCATTTGGACTTTTAAATGCATTAAAAAACAACATTTTTATTTTTTATTTTTTTATTTTTTTTTGGGGGGGGGGAATTGGATTAGTTTAGTTACCTAGGGTGGCATTTGAAAAATTAATTCATCTTTATGGTAGATACAGTCCAAGCTATTTTGTGCCATATAAGTTACTGACCACATATAAGTAATTAGTACATCTGATTACTGTATGAGGCATATATAGCCGCACTATAGAGTGGAGATTAGACCAAATATAAAGTGAAATGACATGTCTATTTATGTTCAGAACTCCACTTGATAATGTATGCAACTCCAAATAGCCACATACATCAGATTTTGCCCTTTAGTGATTTTTATTGGCATAACAAACTGTAAATTGCAAATTTCGCTGGTGTTTGCGTACATGTCAAGCAATTTAGTTTCTGTCTACCAATCATTAAAGTTGCCACCATGGCACAGTCAATTGACTAATAAAGAGCTTCAGGTTAAGATTTCTTTTAGTAAGTATCCCCCTTTAAAACAACTATCAAATAAGTTATCAGAATACAACTGTGGCATCAACACGCATCTCCCTCTCTCTCCTTGCCCCATCACACTCATAAAGAAATACTGTTCTCTCCTATTCTTCCTGTACAGTAGAGAAAGAAATCAATATGAGTCAGTAAATGCTACATAAAAAGCAATTATATTTCTCCTGTAAGTAAATTAATTGCATAAGAGGAGACGAGAATGATATGGCAAACATGCAAACATATCATCAATAAACGTTCTGTGCCAGAGTTCTCTCTCTCTCTTCCTCTGTTTCTCTTTTTATCGCTCTACATTACGTGTACAAATAACGCCAAAGTTTGTTTTTCAATTATCATCTCTTCGTCGTTGGCGGATACGTGCTTTCTCTCTAAATTGGCCTCCTGTGGTAGACAGATGATCTGGTGTGGATGATGCCTAGTCTTTTTTAGAAAGACCATTTCTTTCTATTTGCATTCATGGAAGTTGTTTGAGCTCGCTGAAAGAATGTATGATTGCCACCAGGACATTGAGATATAGGAATGAGGAAATTGGGGGTATTGAGCCCTAAATATCCATTGACAAGTTGACTAATACCAACTTTTTGAAAATTGTACATTATGACAATTTGCATTCATGTTGATTGCATTTTTTGTTGATTCTCTATATTTCTACATCACCCTTTCTTCTTTTTGCTTCTCTCCTCTCTCTCTCTCTTTCTCTTTCTCTCTCTCTCTTTCTCTCTCCTTCTCATCTTCCTCTCTTTCTCTTTCCCTAACTCCTCTCTTCCTATTCTCTCATATTTTCTTGACTCTTTGCTTCTTCTTCTTTTCTCTCTCTCTCTCTCTCTCTCTCTCTCTCTCTATATCATGGTTAAATTGCTGTAAGACATCCACCATTTACTCACAAGCACTCTAAAAGCATCAGGTAGAAATGTCACAATCTGAGACACTACTCAACATATTTTTACATCCCACCATCACTCCCTGATCCTGATGCATAGAGCTTCCCTCTCTAGTCTCTACCGTGGACGAGAATACGAGATTGAGCTCCAAGACTAGGAAAGGTCGGCATAGAGATAGAGAGCATGTTAAGTGAGAAGTTGATGGAAGGAGGGATGAACTAAATAATCTGGGTTTTAATATTGATCTGTGAGTGGGGATGAACGTAATGGACAACCCAAGGTAAGATTACAGACGTTCCGTGCAGTCCAGCACACTCAGAGAAGGACAAATTGCAAAAAAAATTGCATGGTATCTCCTTTACGCTGGTGCACTTTTAAGCAAGAATATTGATAAAAACACTCATTTCTTTAACATCTATCCCTGAACCTGTCTGCAATGGCAGCACTTAGCGCCACTTTGTTTGAAATGCATCCAACTATTCTTGATCACTGATCTGTAATCATTGTAAATCTCCTTTCAGAAAAGTTTGAATACAGTTGATGAGGATAGCCCCCATGTGTAGCGTTATTTAGCAATATTTGCCTTACATATCTTTGGCCTCACATCTAGTGCATTGCCATAATTAATGAGACAGTTCTATTTTTTATATATCCCTTGGGGTTATAGTTACAGTTATTTATAAAATTGTTTTTCAAGCTACAAAACTACACACAGCCCAAAGTGGCTCACAGACATCTTCGAACAAACTTTCAAAAATGCCATTGGCCTGGGTACATGAAAATAGATACTATGAACCTCTGACATATAGATTTTTCACCTATAACCACAAGTGACTTCTTTTTTGTGGAAGGTCTTCTGAAGTTAAGTAGAAGAGGACGGATAAATGAACAGTATCAGACAATGTCAGATTAGCAATTGAAATACGAGGATTTGGGGAATGGAAGGAGTTATCTAGCGTCTGAATTGAAGGGGATGGGAATGGCCATTAAGGAGGTACATTGTACCTTTTCATGTACCGAGCTATAAATCATTTCTTTTATTGTATACAAACAAGGGGCTAAGTGATCTAGAAATATCAAACATCATAAATCATCACTGTCCCCATTTGCCATAAACAATAGATATTCCACTGACTTCTTGCTCTCTCTTTAGAATACAATCTCATATACCCTGCTTAGTCAGGTAATATAAGAGCAATTGGGATCAGAAGAGGGTAAATCATAATTCAAGAGGGGCTTTTCTGCACCCCTGATAACCATTTTGGAGTGTTATTAACCCTTACAGCCTCATCGAGTTTCAAAACATGTATCATACATAGGATTCCATGGGCTGAGTTTTAATCCTCCTTCCTTTTGTAAAAATGGTTAGTTCTCTGCAAAATATTTCTTTGTATCAACCATCATAATCATAAAACTGATTTGCATTTCACACAAAATAGGACAGGCATTTTTATACCGCATTATTTTACTTTCAAGCTAGGATCGAGATTAACCCACTAAAGCATAACATTTCCTGTGAAAGATTAGTAAAAACCACCTGCTATTTTCACATTTACCCTGTGTAACAGATTATGAAACAGTCTACTCATGCTACAACATTGATCAAGATTGTATGAAAGAAAAAGCATTGTAAAACATGACTCAACAAATCATGCATATTTAATACATTTCTCAATGCAGTACGTCTCAATGCAGTACACCTCAATGCTTCAAAGTCCATGTTTGGCTCGCGAATTCCCAGCAGAATTTAAAACCTCACACTTGAGGTAACATTGATGATGCAAAAGGCCTCTTATATGATGAAGCAGGTTCAGTACATTTTAAAGTAAGGTTGATGAAGTCAAAGGCCTCTTATGCAGGTTCAGTACATATGAAACGATTCCGTATCTAATATACATATAGAGAGCTAAAATAGTCTCCCCCACAAGTCGAGTACCTCAACGTGACCAACATTTGTAAAAAGCGAATTCCAATCCACATCAATGAAATCATTCACTGTAATTTGAGATCAATGAATAAATACAAGACTCAGAATGATTTCTTGTCACACTTGGAGTGCAGCATGCCGTAAGCCAGCGCCAGTGAGATACTTCTGATCATGTTCAAAGAGATGGGCATTTTTAAAGGTTACCTCCTCATTAACACCTTTCTGCTATAATGCGTTAATATTCCCCTAGAGTGCATACATGATAGTATGGTATCATGTTTCATTTCATTTCATAAATGAGGCCTTCATCTTGGAATGTATGACTGTCAGGGCACCATCTCTTTTCTTCTATGCAATACCTGGAGAAGATGGATTGCCCGGCAAAAGGGTGTAAATACCATTT